ACTTTGGGCAGTCCCCTACATTCAATTCATTCAAGGATGAGAACTCAATGCTAGAATCTCCAAAGTAGAAGCTAACAAGGGTTTGGAGTCGCCATAACCGTAGCAATTTCAACGCAGGGAAAATCAAGTTCCCCTTTCCTTCTTCATTCTCTTCAGAAAGAACCTTTGTCATCATCTTGCATTCCCATATTGCAAGGTGTCCAAGCTTCCCTAGACTTCTAGCCATAGTGGATGAGAATAGGTATTTCAAGTTATGGCAGCCACGAATAATCAATTTCGTCAGGTTCTCAACACAGTAAGATGTTATCCAAATCATGTCAACATTAATTCCTGACAATTGCAGCTCCTCTAGGTTTGGAAACACAAACTGCACAACAAAGAATTCCCTTTCTGAGCAAAGCTGATCATTTTTTGATATATAATAAAAAATGAAAATGTGAAAAATATTAATTTTTACGGATGGTTTGAATACAAGTACTGTTTGAGCCAAAAAAAAATGTAAGCTATATAGTGCTTTAAAGTGTCGTTTTTATATACTATACGAAATGGATTAAATTAATGTAACTGATAGTGCTTCATTTAGAAAAAAATAAAAAATAAAAAAGAAACAAGAATTAAATACCTGATCATTGAAAAGTGGCATGCTGTTACAATTACTGTCGAAGCTAATCAGCTTTGGCAGACCTTGTAATCCCAAGGACCGCAACAACTGACCAAACTTTGGCTTTACTCCTTGACTTGCTTCAACAATTTCTTCTCTGCTCCTTTGCTCCTCGACGTGATCAATAATCTCCTCCATGTTGCTGCAGTCTGACACTCTAATTTCTTGTAATTGGAGAAACTGGCTAGCTATAGAAGAGGAAAACAAACTCCTTAGCTGATGACACGACTTAATTGTTATTGTTCTTAATTTGCTAAAAGCCGTATCTTTGAACCTGGCTTGAAATAACTTCTCCAATTTAATTAAATTACGAAGAAGCAATACTTCTAAGTTGGGAAATACACTGAAAGGACCCCGTCCCCTTAAGTTAACAATTTGATGAAGCTCTGGAGCATTACGAATATAGAGATACTTCAGATCTGGAAAACCTTCAATATCTAGTTCATCAACCACATTCTTTACACCATTCAACTCCTCTAGATATAGCACTTCAGTCATCTTCAACAACCGTTGAATTGAATTGTCGAATCTTGTGTGTGCCTTCATCTGCAGCTTCAATACTTTTGAGCTATCAAACGAACTATCCCAGTTTTTCCACACATCCCCGAGGAATATCTTGTATCGTTCTAGTTTTCCAGGGATCGTTTGAACATCAAGGACACGTAACTCTAAAGCTGTTAGTCTAGGTAACTGTGTCAACTCAGCAAGGCTAGCATTTCTTTGCTTCCCATGCTCCATGACATCCCACTGGTAAAAGCTGTTGCCCATTTTTAGCTCTTGTAGTTCGGACAAACTTGCTAAGACTTCTTGTGGAACTACTTTCAATTTTGTGCAGTCACTCAGATCTAACAACTTTAGCTCGGTCAAACTCCCTACTTCTGTTGGCAGCTCTTCAATTTCACATCCTGCAAGGCTGAGGACTCGCAAATTATTCAGCTTTCCTATGACAGCACCTACATCTTCATCTCCTAGCACACTTTGATCCAAACGCAGTGTGTGAAGGTCTGTTAGGAGGGTAATGGACACAGGCATGGGGGATAAATTCATTTTTGTCAAACCCAAGACTCTGAGTTTTTCAATCCCCGAGAAAAAATTTGTAGGAATTACTACAGAGAAGTTGGACAAGTGAAAGAAAGTAAGCTTGGGGCATTTGAACTTAGCTGGAAGCCGACCACCGCAAGCATCTCCATTTGATAAAAAAATCCATTTCAGATCTGCCATTACGTCTTTGTCTGGCCACCCTCCCGGTATGTCTTCATCTCTTGAAGTAAATACACCATAGTTCCTAGAAGCCATTGACTTGGCAACATCTCGAATGAGGTCATGCATGTCGAAATACATTTTGCTGCGACCATCAACCAACAGAGAAGACGCTTTGAGATGATCAACCAATGACAATACTCTGTTTCGTGTTTCTTCTATTGTGCAGACATTTAGAAATAAACCCAAACCCACACTATATTTCACCAACTCTTCAATTGAAGCATTGTGGCTTAGCAAACTACACATCAAGAATGTTAGCTTGAGTTCTTCTCTTTCTAAATGCGTGAAACTGAACTCTATAGCTGAAAACACTTTTGCAGATTTCCCATCTGGAGAAGGTCTTTTCAATTCTAGCAGAGCATCCTTCCAATCATGCACCCTCTTATTTTTCAAAGCATTTCCAATTGTTGCAACAGCAAGCGGCAATCCTCCACTTTCTTTTGCAATCTCCCTTCCAATCTGCTGCAACTCACGCCTTTCAACATCCTTGCCAACTATCTTCTTAAATAGCTCCCATGATTCATTATCTTCTAATTGACCAACTAGGAATTCTTTTTCAGTACCGATATCACCTGATAAAACAGAGCGATCTCTGGAGGTCAACAAAACCTTACAAACAAAAGTTTGTTGTTCAGCTGAGCTTTCATCATTCTTTTCACCTACGGTTTGCTTTTGCTCCTTTGCAGGTAAGGGGATTCCCACATCCTCCATAGCTACTGGTCCCCAAATATCATCCAAAATTACTAGGACCTTCTGGCTTTTTTTCAGCGTTGCCTTTATTCGAGCAGCAGCTCTCCACTCTGGAAGCCCATCAGGAAGCTCTAAACCCAAGCCACGTTGAATTTCTTGTTGAATACTTTTCAAGTCTGGATTCTTTGTCACTTTAGCAATAACAACTGCATCAAACAACTTCTCTTGCTGTGCTTTTCTTTTAACTTCTCCAGCCAGCAATGTCTTCCCCGCGCCAGGCATCCCGTACACCCCTATCTTGTTGATGCTTGGAGTTTGTAGAGCCTCCATGATCTCCTTCAAAACATGCTTTCTTGAGTCAAAGTCCTTGAAAACTTCATCAACTAGATCTGCTTTCTCCTCTTCCACATGAAAGAAGGAAATTCTAGTGAACGTGGCCTCCTCCAGAAGTTGACCAACAGCCAGGGCATCCTCCTCTGCTTTTTTGCTTTGCCTGTAAAGAGACTTGGGATTAAGACACAACCCTAGGAAACACCTCTTCTTGGCTTTATCTTCTAATTCATCCAAAGATTTCTTTGCCTCTCCAGTAATGTAGTTATCTGCTTTACTCATCCAATTCTTGACCTCCTGTTCAATTTCTTCAGCCTTTCTTTCAGCATCATTAACATGGTGTTGCACACTCTCTCTTCTATCTGTCAGCCGCGCCAGTTTGTCCTTCAGATTTCTGACATTATCGCTCCGTTTGTAAACAAGAGTTATTGGTTTTGAGATCAGATCGATAGTCGATTCAACTAGGTGCTCAGCACATTTGCCACCCGCAGCAACGCCAATTTCAGCGGCCATCTTCTAATTCT